AAATTAATTAATACAAAATTTTACATATAATCACACTAACAATATTTTTTACATATAAGTGATTATAATAATAAATCTCTTGGTATAAGCACACCTTCATATAGTCACACCATTTCATGGTCCTGAGGGGTGTGATTATAGAGGGGGTCGACTGTATATATGAGGATTATCTAAAGAATTATAATAAATATAAAATAGAACTAATAATAATTATCACATAAATTAGTATATAGAGGATCATTACTATTTTAATTTTCTTATTAGTATTATTTATTTTATTTTCTTATTTAATAACTGATTATAATATATATATAGAGAGAGCTATTGAAAAAGAATTCTATATTTTAGAAAATAGCACAGATATATCAACTTATATATTCTAATTTGTTAGCAGTTATCTTATCTAACAGAATACTACTATCTTTACTGATAATATCCTTTTAAGATACATGTATAAAAATTAAACTTTCTTTCAACATGTATGATGACAAATAACGTTGTAAAATAGAAGAAAATTCTTATTTTATTTTTATTACATAAGAGAAATAATTGATAATAAATGTATGATACAAAAAGATTTTAAGTTATTAAAATATTATTATATTAAATCAAAAAGATTATTTCTTATATTTAAAGATAATGTCAAACAAATAATAAGAACTCAACATATTATCACAGCTCTAATTGAAGGACTAAAACTTAATGATCTGAATGAATTAATTTACTGGAGTTTATTTTTAAAAGGAGGATATTGTAATAGAAGTAACAACTGAAATTACCTGACAGAATAGATTATCTAATTTTACTATGTCATAATATCTATCTAATCTGTTGATCCTGGCAGATCTATGAAATGTGTTAAGTCTGTGTGATATATTAAATATACCATATATACCAAATATATAGAAATGGTAGATATATTATAAGTAAAGATTACATAAAGACCTAGAAGACGTTAGAACTTTATTTTATTAGTAATTAATTAATATTAATAATCAATTATATAATTTATATTTCTTTATTTTATTTATTTTGTCTGAAGCGTAGAGGAGGACACTACAGATTACGCCAAACTAATGCAAGGTTTGTCTATCTAAGCCAATCAAATTTGCTGTAAATAATAAATAATAAATCAAGTGTAAAATTTCAGAAAATCAGTCACATGTATACTATGTACAGTGAACTCTTGATATAACGAATTCTAGGATCTGGATATCAACTTCGTTATAAGCTTATAACGAATTTTTTAAAGAATTTAATTGGCTAGTTCACTATAATAAGGTAATTTTAATATATTTGATTTAAAAATTCGCTATATCAAGAGTTCGCTATATCAAGATTTGACTGTATACTGGCAGAAGAGAAAAGGTTAATTTTGAATTATACCCAATTGATATATTTTTTCGTTAATAAAATGATTTGTTATCACTGAATTTTTTTATTGTTACATTTTACTGTTATATTGTTAAACTTGTATTATTGATGATCTTACACTTCGGACGCTCTAACGGTTCCCGTTACCTAGTATTATTAGATTTCTTATAAATAATATAGTTTTAGAACTACATTAACAGTAGAGAATTTATTTTAGTTTTATCAACAATAAGATAATTACTAAACATACTTGTATAACAATAAATATAATTTATCAAATTCTTTTCTATAATAAAACTCTAATTGCTTAACCTATAATTACACTTTATCTTTGAAATACATTTCATTTGCATAAGCCTTCAGAGCTTTTCATAAACTTTCATTCATAAATCTTAAAGCTAAATTCCTTATTAATCTTACGTTAATACTAATTTTCAGTTATTAGTATCATAAGAACAATATGTTGAAGAAATTCTAGTTGAACTAAGCATAATAGACTTTTTTAAAAATATTATATAATAATTAATTTGATTGATATGATCAGTATATAGGTTAAAATTAAGGTAGTAAAATAACTCAATTTTAATAGCAAACAATCAATCTAAAAAATATTTTAATTAAATTAATTAAAATAAAAGTATTTATTAAATAATTCTATCTTTTACAATAACCATTAGTAAATAAATACTAAGGTAAAAATAAATGTAATTATTGTTTAGAATTCTATAAGGTGTTATTATAATGTGAATAATATTGGTAGATTTTAAAAATGCTTTAGAATTATAAAAGCTTGGTAAATATATTTTAATATACATATATTAAATAATAAAACTTCAGCTCTATCTAAGTTTCAAAAGAAATAACAACATATCAATGCAAAAAAAACTGCTCATTGATATATTAGTTTTTGAAAAAATAATTTAAATCGATCGACATAAAAAAAATCGACATTTGATTTTATATATATTGAAATGCTTCCCAATTTTAGATTGTCGATCTTTTTGAAAGAAACTTTTTATGTCATGATTTATCTTCATGTTGCGGATCATATCCGTTTAATATAGTTCTTAATGATTAATTAATTCAGGAGAAAAAGAAATCCTTTTTTTATAATCTTTTCAACAGAAAATAATTATTTTAAATATAATAAAAGAATTTTTAATTGAACACTTTCATTTCAAATTAAATAATCAATAACTCCAATTGGGAAGAAAACGAGCATATGTTAAAGGATAACATGTGTATTATGTGTATTAAAAGTAAATATCAAGAAACTTAAGTTCCATTTTCCTCGGTGAAAAATGTACGACTCTATAAGGATTTTGTATATAAAAACGTTAAGAATCCATAATTTTGGCTCCTTATCATTTTTATTTTTTTATTACCAAAAAGCATGAGATTAATAATATATATTATACAACAAATTTAATATAAAAGATGAAATTTAATCTCAAAGGGATTGCAATCCTCTTTATCACATTTGCAATTGGTATATCAGCCATTTCCACAAACGTTAACATCGTTGATGGTGATGAGCATTTTCATTACATTAAAGAAATCCATAAACGCGAAGTATTTCAAACAGATTATTTTCAACCTTTCGTTCATTATCCATTTACCGATAAACCAGTAACTCGTTTCTATAACTTTACATTAAAAAAAGTTAAATTATCACCTGATGGTTTTGAAAGAACCGTTTGGAGTGTAAATGGTCAATATCCTGGTCCAATAATTCGAGCGAATAAAGGAGATCAAATTGTCGTAAATGTAACAAATAACCTCGGGGATCCAGCAAGTATGTATGATTTAAAATTGAAGACTATAAATAATTTTACTTTATTTTAAGGAAATTTAAGTTTCTATTCTCTCTCTCTATTTTTAATGCATTTTTAGCCGTACATTGGCATGGCATGTATCAACGAGAAACAAATTGGTATGACGGAGTTCCAGGACAAGTAAGTTAATGATTATTATAAGTGAAAAAATTTTTTTCTTCAAATTTTTAATAATCAAATAATCTTACTTTGAATATTTAAATTAGACACAATGTCCAATTCCAAATGGTGTTTCTATGGTCTACAATTTTTCTACAGGCGAGCAACATGGCACTTACTGGTATCACTCTCACTTTATGGCTCAATATTTAGAAGGTCTTAGAGGAGCATTGATGTAGGTTTATTTATTTATCATTATTTTTCTTATTGTTTTTCTTATCTAAGTCAAATATATACTAATATTATAATTCACCAAAAAAATAAAAATAAAGTATTCATGATCCAGAAGATCCATACTTAAAACAATATGATTATGAATATGCTGTTACTTTATCTGAATGGCATCATAGGTAAGAATATATTAATTGCACTTTGATCTCGCAAGATTCTAAATTATTCTAACTCTAAATTAAAAAAAAATTTTAATCATTAAGAACAACCGGCGTGCTCTTACCGCTTTATGATGCTCCAAACTATGCTGGTTTTCGCCCCATCCCAGATTCACCACTCATAAGCGGTCGTGGTAGGTATAACTGTACTGCAGCACCCGCTGGATCTTCATGTAAACCAAATGCTCAATTGGCTAAATATAATGTTAAAAAGAATAAGAAATACCGTTTCCATATAATCAATTCTTCGGGAGATGCTTTCTTTGTCTTCTCTATTGATAAACATAAATTAAAGGTTATTGAAGTAGAAGGAGAGTATGTTCGTCCAACCATAATTGAAAAACTACCCATATACATAGGTCAACGTTACTCCGTAATTGTTGATGCTGATCAACCGGCAGGGAACTATTGGATCCGCGGAACCCTTGATAAAAGTTGTAATCCGATTAACAATTCTACTATCAACTTTGATTCTGCTATCGACTGGAGAGGTCTCGGTATCCTTCATTACGAAGAAGCAACAAATTCCGATGAACCAACATCAGTGGAATCAACTCAAAATTATAGAGCATGTCGTGATCTTGATCAAACAAGTTTGCAACCTCTCCAACCAAAAACCCAATATGATAAACCTGTCACCGACTTTTTTAATATTACCGTTAGATTTCAAAGGAATGATGATGGCGTATTTAGAGCTTTAATGAACGAAAGTTCATACGTATCTCAAATTAATGACCCAACAAATCATAAAATTACATTGAAATTCCCACCGGAAGATTTGCCAAAAGAACAAAATTCTTTGATTTTAAATAATGAAAAAGGTGTCGTAGAATTGGTGTTGATGAACAATAATCCAGGTTTACACACATTTCATATGCACGGACACTCCTTTGCTGTAGTATTTGTTGGTGAAAAAGGTGATTTCCCTGATCCAAGTAAATATAACACGAAAAATCCTATTGTTCGTGACACCGTAACTGTTCCTGAATTTGGATACTTGGTTATTCGTTTCATCGCTGATAACCCTGGCATCTGGTCTTTCCACTGTCATATTGAATGGCACGTCGAAATAGGTATGGTTCTTCAATTAATAGAACTTCCGTCCATTTTTAAACAAAAAGTAATACCGGAGGATGTGATCTCTTTGTGCATGGAATTTGATTACGAAAAGAAGAAAAAGAGAAGTCACACAGATCCAACTCTACCGGCACCATATCAAGTTTTTAAAAGGAAGCCAAATCCTGTCAAAATTAATGAAATCCGAAGTTATATCAAATGAAATAATTAAACAATTTAAATAAAATTAATTCATTTTTTCCTTTACTGGCATTTTTTTCATTTTTTTTTGCCATAATTTCCATAAGTTTTTTTAAAAATTGAGATAATTTGTAATTTATGTATTTATCAAAACCGAAAAAAAAATTATAAAAATTTCATGATAATTTTTTTTATTTTATTTTTTTTTTTAAAAAAAAAAAGCGAAGTTTAAACGCGACCTACTGCGCCGATATTCTCAAAACTCCTTCAGAAGCTAAAATATTAATATCGATCACTGGATGCAAGAATAATCAAGATAAAAAAAATTAAGAGAATTTAAACTTTCAATTTTTTTATATATAAATAAGTGATGAATGACTAAATGCTAATTTAATTTCGCATTAAGATTAAAATTTGGCCAATACTCAACTGTTATGTTACAAGGTTTATCTAAAGCATGTGATCTAATATACTTATATAGTAATTCTGAAATTTTTATCACGTGAAATTTTCTTTAAGAGTTATACGGTATGCAACAAATAAAAGAATTAATCTAGATCAGAGAAGATTGCAACAATTTCAATTCCATTTTAATGAAAAACAAGTTAAAATAGAGATATTAGGTCTTGAATCGATTATTAAAAACGATAAATGCTTTTAGACATTACATAATTCTGGCAACAACCACAATCAAATGTCGTAAAGCCGTAAACTTGCGCTTGCGCTCTACAGTTTGTGCCTTTAATTAAAAATAAATTTCGTTATGGGTAACTTTTATAATAAATTTTTAATAAGTAATCACAAGATAATATTTAGAAAATGCAATTTATATTAAAAAGTTTGATCAAAGTTATATTTTAATACTTTCACACGTAGTTATTAAGCTAAACACAATAAGCATCCCAAGAGTTTAATGTTTCGCATATATTAGGAACATTGATCTAGTGTTGTTGTTATCTTCAGCTTCTTTTTCTCACACCTGAATAAATATGACACTTGTAAAATTTCCAACGAAAACTTACAAAAGAAATCGAACTTTCCTGCAAAGCCATCCAAAAACGAAAAGCTCGCATGATCAAGAAATTAAAGATAACTTTAATGTTCCTGATATCATTGATTATAATTTAAATGGTAGGAAATACAAATGAAAATAAGAATTTTACGGTAGGAATCAAAATAAACCTTTTTATATAGTTTTATTTGTAGGCCTTTTTTCTGGAAAGAAGAGTATCAAGGAAAAACATCATTATTCTTCATCAAATAATTATTTTTATTATGCGTTATATGAAAGTGGTATGCATACATAGTATATATATTTCTTTTTGTATACATGCATACGATACGATTCATTAATAAAACTTTTAGGTATTACAAACGGAGATAAGTTAACTTATCAGGATGATCGACGTCTCGCGCGAGATTATAAGATTGGAATCGTTACTCTGGTTTCGAGACCCGAAAATCGTTCAAAGGTATAAAACTACCCGAATTTGGATCATATTTATATTTTGCTATAATTTTATTTTATTTCATTCCGTATAAGACAAAATTGTCAGTTGAAGAGATTAAGCAAGGATTTCCATCCCTACTTGAGAAGGTCGAAAAGTATCGACCAAAAGTTCTTTGCTTTAATGGAAAAGCAATTTTTCAGGCCTTTACAACTTTTCAAACCGCTCGGATTCATTCCTTTCCCTTAAAAAAGAAGTTAATAACCGAAGGTTGGGGGGAACAACCAAATCATTTTATTCGGTGGGAAGATCATACTGGCCATACAAAGGTTTTCTACGTAATGTCGACAAGTGGACGCGTTGCCCAATATTCTGTCCAAGATAGAGTAAAATATTTTGAAAAGTTGAAAGAGTTGATAGATAATGATAGTTCTGTGATCAAAGGTATTTTAAAGTTTTAGTTAAATTAATGAATTTAATCCTTTCAAATTGTAAAGATTTATTAAAGAGTATGAGCAATTGAAGATAGCAACGTAACGTATATTGGAAGCGAAGAACTAGATTTCAGAATAAAGGAGAAATCCATTTCTTTGGCAAATGCTCACGTTAAAAAAGCACTTAACGAGCACAAATGTTATGAATTTAATGATATGGATAATACTTCAACTTCTGATAACAAACGTAAAAATAAACAGGAAAAGAATCAAGATTATTCTCCACCAAAGTTTTTTATGGCAAAAAGATGGTGAATTAATTTGTCGATAAAGTGGTCACCTTGCAAATCGTGTTTATTTATTTATTTATTTAAAATATTAACATTGTACAGAATATATATACTGTATATTCGAGATAGTTTATAATATTATAATAATTAATTTTACTATATACGATTATTATTAAATTTTCATCGCAATAATTCTTCGATTCCAAATGTAATTATTATTTTTTCATCTCTGAATTACTTATCAACCTCTCTGGCCAAGTTATAATATTCTTAACGCGTTAATTTCATGACTGGATTAAAAATTCAGCCATGGATTTTATAAAAGTTATGGTAGTCTTAGCGGCAAATTCCCCAACAAAACCATTTTTTAACCAAATGGTACTTTTATCATTTGGTCCTGATATATTTGTTAATTGGTTTGTATCTATAAAAATTTCTTGAAGTCGACAGATAATTGTGTCAGAGAATTAATCCACGGTTTCACTAAATTGTAAAGTTTTGTTTTTAATAAAAATATAATAACATGCAAAAAAATAACAAAAATAAAAGAAAAGGTTACTTACTTCCTTCGTTAGTCCATCGGAACAACGCTTCGCTCGTAACGTGACCTTCAAGTTCTGGCTCAACAAACTATATGAAATATTTTTTGAGAATCGTGGCGCAGCAACTGCATATCGAAAAAATATACCTCTATGTATCAACGACTCGTAATATCTCTTTCATTACAATTTTTCAAATTCGGATGATTGAAATGATATTATTTCTCTTGCAAACACATAATCCAATTCTGCATCTTTAAATGGAAGGCATTGAAGAATATTTGCTTCAATAAACTCGACATTCTTGGGCGAGACTGATTCAGGAAAGGAGGGCTTTGAATCAATCCCATAAAATTTTGCTAATGAAAATTCTGATGTCATTTCTAATTTCCAGAAACCAAAACCACACCTTGGAATATAGAAAAAATTTTAATTTAATTGAAAATTCGATTAATCGATTAATCTTATTTACAATAATAATCCAACCCCTTTTTAATAATTACCCGACATCAAGGACTTTAACATTCGAATCTAACATAATAAATCCTGGATAGGTGCGGCAAAATTATACTTCCAAGCATATTTTAACATGAGATGATTTGATCATCATCACTATTTGAACGATAAAAGTTGGCATATGGGCTGATCGTGCTCGTTTCACTAAGTAAATTTTTGTGATATTTATGATTTGTGTAACTAAAATCATTGATTTT